CCGTGACGTAGCTGAAACTTGAAACAAGTTTTGTTGCCTTGTGAAACGTATCGCGACATAACTGTAAACATGATCAAAGAAAGGTTCAAAGGGTCGTATTTTTAGTGAAATTTGAAAAGTGACTGTGTTGGTGCCAAGCTTTCAAGCTGGATTCTACAACGACTCTATCTTCGCTGTTGTCGCTGAGAGCAACGGCGGGTAGCGCGATGGATCTCAGTACCGCTTACCGGTACAATCAGAATATGATGGAGTATTATACATGTAAGCAAGTGTTTGATTTCTTTTTGTGTTTGGTGAATCTGTACTTACGGACCGACTAAAGCTTTGAGTTTCTGCCTATCAGTAACTGATATAGCATCACTATGATTCTAAGCACAGCATGATACTTTAGACTTTAGAGGTTGAATCTTGATTAGAAATATAACAATGCAAAGATTCCTGATGTAGTTGAATCTGTAACTGGTCTTCTTATGATAGACAAACAATCAAGCAGAGATTTTCTAAAAACTCGCCCAAAATCATTTTGTCGTTTCTAACGTATACAGGGTGGCGCATCGAAAACGCAAGACAGTCGCAGGATAAGTTTGGGGTCACTTTTGACTCTTTCTTCTGTGAAAATATTAGACCTAGTTCTTAAAAACTTGAAAGCTCAGCAATAACCCAAAATTCGGAGCGAGCTGGATCATAAGAAATGGTGAATGTGATCGGAGTCGTCACCACCATTATTGGTGATTACATTTTTATCAGGAATTGGCACATGCTACATGGACTAGACGAGGTTCCAGCTTGGAATATTTTAGATGTTTAGTGTGAAAAGACTTTTTGTGCTTGATGCTGTTCAAAGGGAAGCTGACTAACTCATCAGATTGTCTCAAACCTCTTTCTTGTACCGATATGCTAACGGACCTTGCTCCTGTAAGCGATTTTTCATGATGCCATCACGCGTGGGTCTGGTGACGTTCATTGCACATTTTCAGCCTGAGAAAACAAACTTTTCCGCTTTCGAAAAGACACTGATGAGATGAAATTAATTTATGGTTTTGTTTAAAATAGTTCCTCGATATTTTTGTTTGTTTTATTTTTACTTCTATAATTTCTGCTTTATATCTTCTTCCATTATTCCTATCACTATTTCTGCTACCTTTTTCGGATGTTTTTCCACACAATCTTCAAAACATTCCTTTCTTATACCAATCACAAACATATTGTCCTTTTCGCTCCACAAACATAAATATACTAAGTGACATATAAATCCGAACACCCAGTTTAAATGGTTTTATTTTAATAAAAGTTGGTGAATGTATTTATCTTACTGTAAATAACAAGTGAAAAAATTTTCAGCCTTATCAGTTGGACATTCCGGTTTTTATACTGCTTTTTTTTAATTCACTAACGCTCTAAAAATGAATATTTCAGCCGCAGCAAGGAAACAACGTTGGCGGATTTTGGTTCTTGACATCCTTTACGATCGGTTACGATGCCTAGAGTACGGAGACCTGTACGATTTCGTCAACTTAGTGAGTTTGATAGGGGCCGTATAGTGGGACTTCGGGAAGCTGGACTTTCTTTTCGGGCACTTGCAGTTAGAGTGCAAAGAAGTGTAGACACTGTGGTTAGGTGTTGTCAGGCATGGCTTCGAGAAGGCCGTACGCAAAGTGCAAGGGGCACTGGACGCCGCCGTAGCACAACAGACCGTGAAGATCGCCGTCTAAGATTATTGGCCTTAAGGGACCGTTTCTCCACTACCAGATCCATTGCAAATGAATGGTTTGCAGAACACGGAAGACCTATTGGCATGCGAAGTGTTTACCGACGAATGAGAAGTTTTGGCTTGTTTTCATACCGGCCAGACTGGGTCCTCCCTTTAACTCGAGAACACCGACGTAATCGCCTTGAGTGGTGCAGACAACGGTCACTCTGGGATCAGGAATGGAACAGTATTGTCTTTAGTGACGAGTCTCGATTTTGTTTAGGCATGCACGATGGTCGTGCCAGGGTTAGAAGGCGATGTGGTGAAAGAAGGAATCCACAGTTTTTTGTTGAAAGACATGTTCATCACACTGTTGGAGTTATGGTTTGGGGTGCTATAGCTTATGGTTCCAGGTCACCTTTAATTTTCATCAGAGGTAACATGAACGCGCAGCGTTATATCCACGAAGTTCTAGAACCCCATCTTTTACCCTATCTTGACACCCTGGCAGATCCAACTTGTTGCAAGAGTCACAATAGACTTCTTTCAACATAATGATGTCACATTGTTACCATGGCCACCAAGATCTCCCGACTTATCCCCAATTGAGCACGTGTGGGATATGATGGGTAGGAGATTGCAACGTCCTCCTCAGACTCTAGAAGCACTTCGAGAGGAGTTGGTGGTTGCCTGGAATGAGATACCACAGGAGGACATTGACCACCTGATCAGAAGCATGCCTAGGCGCGTTGGAGAATGCGTAGTACATCAGGGTGCATCCACACATTATTAAAGGTCAAAGGGCTTTAAAGCAGTGCAATCATTTTGAAATTTTTATCATTTACCTATTATGCTTCATTAAGTACTTATACAAAATTTTATTAAAATAAAACCATTTAAACTGGGTGTTCGGATTTATATGTCACTTAGTATATATGACTTTTGTAATAATCATCTAATAAAATGACAATTTTATATTTCAGTATCTCTATACGTATATACTGTTGCTTCTTTTATTATACTATGAAACCTTATACCATGTAAACATGTCATGTAGAAACTGAACTAAATTAAGTGGAATGGAGATTCATGAGCTCGATTAAGCTTTAAGCGATCTCTTTCCAATGGAATGTAATCCTTGATTGAGGTTTAAGGATTACTTACAAATTATTCATAGCCAATTGACTTGACTCTTTTATTGTAAGTAATATATAAGTTATGGATTTCTTATTTTTTCTTACTTCTATCATTTGTGTTTTATATTTTATTTAATCATACATGTCTCTATTTATGCTACGGTATTTGAAGCTCTGCTGCTATAACCTTTTACAGAGAGGTTCTTTGTGTTGTCTTTTCTGAAAAGAGGTTATGTCCAGACGTATACATTAATGGTTTTTTCCGTTTTTTGCGTTCTCAAAAACTTTAAGAATCATCACGGGAAATCAGCACTGCACCCGCGTTGTTTCCAATTAAGCTGCATCGCCGAAAAATTACATAACATACAGAATATACAGAAAAACTTGACCATTTTATCACTTGTTGTTCATGGCAAGAGAAATCGATATACAGGGTGGCGCTGGCATTTACTGGCAGCTCAGTTTTTTTTTTTGAAAAGAAGTACGAGACGAGACAAAAAACGCTTCAATAGCTATTTTCAACAACAAAATGATAAACAAACCATGGGCGTAGTGAAGAAAAGCATTTACTTATTAAGTAAATTCTTTTAGTCAAATTTCTTCTGAAAGTAGTACAAACCAATCTGATGTACCCATTAAAGTCTACTTTAACCTTTAAATCAATAAATCTTAAAAACTACTGAACTGAAGCTCATGTGTTTTACATCATTATAAAGGGAATTGAAAGACCTTTAAAATAAGGTATCACTCGACCCTCCTTTCGATTTAAGATTTTAGGGGTGGTGTCATCCCCGCCCAGGGGGCTGCACGTGTTAACGTGATTTTTTACCAAACTTGTGTCCCGCTCGAAAACAAAATCGACGGGTCTGAGCGTTTTTCAAAAAAAAACTGAGCTGCTAGTAAATGCGTCTGTTTCGTTTTCGATGCGCCACCCTGTATATAAAATTCTTGAATTCTAACAATACATATGTGTTTACTCACTCAATAAGTTCGGATCCTGATATGACCAAGAAGGCCTTCACAAAAAAAAGTACGGCTCGGAAAATTTAAATCGGTACAACATTTTTGCGATTTTCCATATCATGATCGGAAAAATCCATAAAAACTGATGCAATCCTCATCGCTCTTACCACTTGCCAGCTTGGCCGAAGGTAATCTGATAAGCCGAGATAAGCATCATAACATGTGTCTGTTGAGTGTTCGGGGCGGAACTATGACACTGATAAGGGCGAATTAAGCCTTGCCGACCCTTCAAGGGCTCAATTACCCTAATAGGGGATGATCGACCCCCGGCGCACCATGTAGGGGTGGATTTATGCGAAGGATATTGGTTTTTATTCCAAGTGATGCCGAATATAGTGTGGTAGTCCATGATAAGGGAGATTTCGGTGCGTGTTTCGACGAGATAAGAAGTGTTGGTATATGGGCGTGTATTGTTTTTCATTCAATAATTTGATAGTGTGAGAGTATTGATATTCATCCCTCCTCTAGCCTCTTACTTTTTCGTATTCCGTAAAAAAATCTGACGTAGGAACACTGAATACGTTGTAATTTGCTTTGTTCACTATAAGATAGAGCGGGGCCACATACAGTGTGACAATCAGTGGCGGCTCGTGGCAAAATAAAACAGGTGATCTGCAAATCCGAACTTACCTATTTTTTATATGTCAGTTCGATCCTGCGCTTCTTCTTGGCAGCAAATTGGTCGATCACCTTCCCGTTGAAATTTTCCATGGTCGAAATAAATTCCTTTTCAATGGACAGCATCGACAACGCTGTAAATCGATCCTGGGTCATAGTATTACGAAGAAAAGTCTTGATTCTTTTCAATGTTAAGAAATTTCGCTCAGCCTCTGATGTTGTAACAATAATTTCTAATAGCTTTTTTGTTTCTTTTAGTGTTTCCTCCAAACTATTTTGTATAAAAAATTTCAAAAGAGACACAGTTCCATGTAAATCTCGGCAATCATTCCGTGCATAAATAACAGACAACTCTGTCTTTAAACGACTTTTTTCTAATTCGGGATAAGCCAAGCAGGTAGTTTCCAACTTGTCATCAGGAAACTTGCCACAGTATTTTCCAAAGTGTTCAGGAGAAAAGAAGGATGCGGCTACCAAATGATCTTTGAATTGAAATCTGTCATTTGCAGAATTCACTATATTGTCGCATACTTCTAATGCGGCAACTCGGTGATCGTGACTGCTATTATTACGTCGTCTCTTTTGTTGCCTTGGGCTTCAGTGCAAATACTTTTAGCTTCATTTATTATGTCATCAATTTTATTTCTCACATCGACAATGCATTTTTCAAAATTATCGATAGCCGTTTTAACTTGCGCTGGCTCGGTTTTCCTCTTCTGCAACTGGTTGAACAAGATGTCGACGTGAGGCATGACATGATGAAAAAATGTCAACCAAAACACGAAAACCGAATCGTTTAACATACGGCGAATACCGCAAGCTGCCTTGCAAACAGTTTCATTAGTGAAAGTTTCTTCTATTTCTTCCATGCATTCAATGAGTGATTCTCTGTTTCTCAAACACTACATTTATTTATAAATTCCAAAGAGTTGTTGCTCCTTGAGGAATTTTTTTTCTCACAATTCTATTCAGTACCTCTACGTGTTGAGGAGAATTATATATATATTATATCTCTCAAATCCCCAAAGAACATCCGAACTTGAGCATTTCCGGAAGCAGCTTGGGACATAATCAGGTTTAACTGATGCGCATAGCAATGCACATAGAGAGCAAGTGGATATCTTTGTTTAATTTTTGTACTCCAGCATTATCTCCGCTCATTACCGCGGCTCCATAATAGCTTTGTGAAATCAGTTTTTTTAGTGAAATTTCCTATTAATGGATCTACGACGCTCAAAATATGTCTTGTGAGAGTATCAGCGTCACATTTTTAGGGATTCATATAATTCCAAAAACGTTCTACTGGTTCGCCGTTAAGTACGTATCTGAAAATCGTAACCAGTTGGGTTTTCCTCGAAATGTCCCTTGTTTCATCTGCTATTATCGCCAAATACCAGGCTCTGTTAATCTGTTTTATTATTTCTTCATGACAATCTTCAAGAATACAATCCAATATATCGTTTTGTATTTCTTTCGAAGTTCCTTTAAATATTGAAGCATTTCTTATGTGTTCGCTTAGGGTTGTAACAAGCTCGGCAGAAAAATTAATCAGTCCACGAAATATTCCCGCGTTTTGGGAGCTCTCGGTTTCGTCGTGACCCCGTAGCGCCAATTCAAATGCTCCGCAAAATTTTATACCGAGCACCGACCGACCAATCAGATATCGTACTTCGCATTAGATCTGTACGGATCTGTACAACTTGCAGCACATGCTTATGCTTAAATCGCGCATTTGATTTTGTAGAGAGGGACAAAAGCAAGCGCGTGCGGCTTGTGTCGAAGTAGTTCACAGATCCTTTTCAAGTGGCCCATGAATAATGTTACGCTGCGGTCGCGACGAAAATGACAAGTACACAATTGGTCGATTATAATGCTTTCTCAGTACAAAACAGACTCGACGCCGTGTCTTGAGGGGGCAGCGTTGCCGGTATTGTTTCTATTTGTGTTATAACAAGGAAAATAAATAATGATCAAATTACTACTGCTTTTTTCTCTTAAGACAAAAGTCTTAGCAGTTCTGCAGCTCTGCAGAACTTAAGGGCCAGCCGCCCCTGGTGACAATAACTGCTTTTTGACATGACAAGTTTTCATACTCACTCATTACAGGAAATCGGGTATCACAGAGTTTAAGCATAATTTCCGTCTCGATAGATGCTTTTTGTTTTTTGTGCCGAAAACCATAGCTGAAGATTTAGACGGATTAATTTATGCAAACGCGAGATGTCCATTAATGCGTCTACCATTTTAAAATCGTTGAATTGAAAAGTAAAATAAATTTCATCGGCATGATGATGGATTCTACAATTATGTACATATTGAACCTGACCTTAAGGTCATCACTACTTGAGGACCCAAAATCTATAGTACTATCTATAATACTAATAGTATTAATTATAGGTTGAGGCTATCTATAGAACGTCAATGGATTGCCTATAGTGCTAAGCATTGTTTAAAAGAGGGCACAGAAGAATTAACGGAAGATGCAATTGATCAGTTTCAATATTCAAGCAACAGAGCCATTACGAAAACAAAAATTCTAAATCAACGAACATCAATAAAAACAACACGAGCTTACACAAAGACACAGTCATGGACTTGTGTCTATCAATTTCTCTACAACTACGCTATTCCTATTTTACGCTCAGTAACCATGGCAACCGAACAAAAAACCCCATTGCGACGAATTTTCCACTCATTTAGCCCATTTAAATATTTGTATGGGAATATGTGTACGGTTATTATTATTATACGGCAAATATTTCGTTAATTTTATTTTCATATGTAAAATTACATGTAAATCAGACGGCGCTCAGCCACCGTTAAACAGAGATACGCGCATTTGTAGTTTGCAGTTATTATTAATATTTCCGATATATTTTCGCTCTGTCCAAATTGTTCTGCGTAATTTTATGCATGTTTTAACAATTTCGTTTGGTGCAGTCGATGCGGCTAGCTACAAAATGGTGGGATGCAGCGGCGTAGGCGCACTTTCTAGCAAAAATGTATTCAAGTAGTAAAGCTTAAACTGTATCGGTACCTCGAAGTATCGACAATCTGGCAACGATGCTGAACCACACCAGTGAACCACGCTGAAAGCGACAGCAATGATACTCGAGATCGAGAGCGCCAGCGATGCAGGACGACGCAGACAGAGATTGGTGCTTGAAGGTTGCTAAAAACAGTGATCGACACACGACGCGTTTGTCAAATATTTATCTCTGTTTTAAGGATAGATGTACAAGGGAATCTACGATCCCTGTCTCAGTGAACCAACTATCAAAACTACGTTTATTAGCGGAAACGTTTTAAAAACTAAAATGTATTTCTGATGACATACGATATTTTATTTAATATGAGCCTAAAATTCTACATTATGGCACCTTAGATTGATATTCCCACAAAACCATTCAGGTTTTTTATATCCATACATCCATAAAGTTGAATATTTTTCGTCGTTCAGAAACTGAACAAACATCCACACTATATTCACAGCGATTAAGAAATTCCCAAATATATGACTTAAAGCTACCAGCAAACCTAAAACCTACAAAAAAAACTACAAATTTGCCATATTTTTCTTTTTTCACGAGTACACATTCTAGGTTATATTTATATTAGACGTTATTTGAATACAGCTGATTATTGCATTTCAAGGAGTGACACATGTGTGGGATCTGTCAACTCTTGGTACCAGCTAGAAAACATATACTCTGAAGGTTTAATTCCATGCTATTCAATGACAGCACGGTGACTTGTGTGGTTGTCAGCGGCCATTTTGTGAGGGTGCTACAGGGTTGCCAGATTGTGCATTAATATCCCGTTTCACCCTCCTGGTCCCAGTGGAGTAGGTTCCGCCAACTGTTGAAATATACTCTACTATGCTTTATAAGACTACTCGTGACAATTTTCCCAAAATCATTGCACAACACTTGAAAAAATGCAAATGAAAATTTAAAATTATTTCCATGACGCCGCAAAATAACTCCGTCGGTACCTTGGGTTATACATCTTGACAGTAGGGATGTTCGATAGGATCCTATATTTAGAAGTATCAATACATTTCACTAGTATCGTCATCTTTCGATCCGGGCTGTGTCAGAAAGAGTTACTGCCATTTGGCTGCGACATTACCCTGCCAAATCAGACATATCTTTCATCATTTTCAAAGAAATTGTACAAGATCTTCAAATTTGTGATGTTAGCGAGTTTCACTTCATACTTTGTTACCAGACATGCCCAAATCATCAGTTGCTGCCGTGATATTCATCCCGACCACTGCATCCCCACGGCTAGGCGACCTATATGTTAAATCTGTATTGATAGGGCAGCGGGTTATGCTATAAATCATATGTCACAGTGTTTGTGCACTGATTGCAACGGTTAGATGATACCAAAAATATTTTCATAAATTTCACGAAAAAAATTCAAAACCAGTAAATGTAAAAGATTCATTTCGGACCCTCCACCACGAGACGTGATTGTCGTTAGACTTGGCAACCCTGCGAGTGACAGAAAGATATCCCCGCCAGTCAAAAAGACAAACAATAAACATTACTAGTTTTTATGATTTTTGGACTTAAAAGACATTATTTGTGGAACATTTTTCATAATTTTTTGTCTATGTCCATAGTAATTGCATTATGCATCAGGCAGATGTAGGGATGGACACGTCTTACACATATTATCTGTGTTTTAGGATGGAAAGGACATAATGTTTTTATTGCTTTGAAGAAATTCATTAACCCATAAATTAATAAATGATTACTATTATGACGTAAAGGAAGATGAGGAATTGGATGGAATGTATTTTATATTCTATTTTATTGTAAAATACAGTCAAATCCACACTATTCAACAGGTATGTAATGATAACTTTCAGTATATTGAAGTTGGTAAATTCGAGAGTGCCATGCATTAACAAACGTCCAAATCTGCTGCCAAATTTAACAGCTAGAAGATCGACCTATTATTTGCCGCAATCCCATTCGCTGAGGGGGATAACGGATTGTTAAATGTAAACCTATAACATGTATCAAAATACATGAAGGTTGTTCTGTTTTTTCTTTCAAAAGCATCATGTTGGAATCAGAAAGTGGTCTTGTTTATAATACAGTCGAATTTTCACGATTTTTTTCAATATTTCAATAGAAATCACTAATATTCGGAGACCTTTGACAGCTTCTGTCAAATTGCATTTCGATAAGGTATTTTCCCATTGGTCCATAATATTAATGTTGGTGAAATTTAGCTTTAATGATGTTTCAATTTATTATTTGGGTAGGTTAAGTAGAGTAGCCAAGATCTAGACTTCGCCTACATACAGGTCACATTATATTGTAGTTTTCAAATGCGCCTAATAAAGACATTTTATTATTATTGTGATTATTATCAGTATTATTATTATGTCTAGAGTATGGATATAAATATGCAGCCTCACCCCCTATAACCACCAAGTTCTAACCCCTACACAAATAACTATAAAACGATCGCGAGCCTTTGCTAGCATAAAAAACGGGATTTCGGAGTTTTTTTTTGTTTCTGCCATTAGCGCTCCGCCACTGAACAAATTTCCGAAAGCTGTCTCATTCCTCAAAATATTGACGGACCGAGGATTAGACTGAGCTGGGTAACATGCTTTTTCTTGATCTAGATCCAAGAAACGTAATATCTCATTTAAACCGTTCCTATGAACTTTTATCCAAAGACGATACTTTTTGATGTCGCCAAAGTTTCTAAATATTCTTCAAACATC